GTCTGTTTTTTGGGGGGTTTTTTGTTTTAAACATTAATCATAAAACTTTTGCTTAACCTTAGCATGTTGTTCATACCTGATCAAACCATCCAGATGAAAACACTTAATGATTGGTAATGTCCTCACATTATTAATGTTAATATGTTAAGGATTACATGAATCAGTGAAAATCACTAATTAAGACCATTCTAAAATTTGCAAAGGAAAAAAAATTAGCTCCGGTCTTTGAGCAAGAGGTGATAATGAACAATTTATTAAAAGGAAAAAGGGTGTTAAGAAATTCAAAATATATATTTGAAAACCCTCAAAGAAATGTAAAAAAAAAAATTTTTGTACAGAAAATTATGACCATTTATTATATATATATATATATATATATATATATATATATATATATATATATATCCTAATTACATGAATCATTCATAAAAAAAACAAATATAGAAGTTAATGATTTAAATGGCAGTTTTTTGCACATCTTCACAAACAATTTCAATAAGATACACTAACCCCAACCTGTATATGAATGATATTATCCCTGTTTATAAATTCCAGTTTCATAAGGTCTTTTTTAGTTTTTACAAGCTTTCGTCTGTTCCTACAGACATCCTCAGGCATCATCATTTTGCAACTTTCGGTTAATAAGTGTGAAATTCCTGTAATTATTGAACAATATAGTTCATGCCACATTGACGGAAAACCTACCAGAAAAGAATTCTTTATTACTATATTTGTACAAAAAATTTCTTTTTTAAAAATTTTAAATTCAAACTCAGCATTTTTCCAGCATGTTCCAAAACAATAACACATTTTCTCATAGCATTTTTTTTTTCCTTACATCTATATTTTCGTTGCCCTCTTATTACCAAGAAATAAAAAACAAGAACAAATCTATTTCCATACATGCTATTGGCCTGTAAGTGATTCTTAAGGCCAGCTTCACTTTTACAACCTCTCTTATACACGTGGCAAACATAGTTTGTCTGTGTTATCTATTTTGGAAACTTGCCTGTCCCTGTGCTGTGTCTAATAAGACTTACAAACCTCTCACAAGTAACCTGCAGGTCTTTCTGGTAGGGTTGCATTCACAAAGAGTTTACACCTGACCCCTCTGGTGTGATCTCATGTGACTGGCTAAACCAGTTGCCAATAGGGTGAATTTTCCACAAATACTACAAGTGTGTTGGTGTCCTAATAGCTTTGAGACAGATTCTATTTCTCTCTTCCTAATGGTGCACTTTTTATTGGAATGCCCAAAATTGTTGCAGCATTCCCAAATCAACCTTCTCCAGCAACAGTTTCCAACATTAACACCAAGAGTTTTTATATATATATATATATATATATATATATATAAGTTACACCATAAGACTATATAATCATATTCCAAAACCCTACCTTCACCATTATTTTCACATCTAGTCAAGAAGAGTATCATTTTTTTCTATTTATTATGAAATGCAAACAACAGACATTAAACTGTCATGAAAAAACAATGATCAACAATGTTTTTTACACAATGTTTGCACACATTAAATGTTTCATACTATAGATCAAATAGGATATGTTACTCCTCAAATAAATCACAATTTTCTGAAGAGTTATCTTTGCAATTTATGCATACAGACAGGAAGATTAAGAGATTTTTTAAAATAGTTTTTATAAATATAATTAACTTTGAATTTATTAATGTACTGCACAAATTTATTTGCAATTGTTTTTTTCTCTTTCTCCAGTTATCAAATTGTGATAGTAAATTCTCTGTCCATTGTTAAACATAATCCCCCTTCAAAAACTCATTAGTACTGACTATGCTGCTTTTGGTATTAATAGTTCAACTCTAATATATGCTTTAAATACTAAATTTTGGGCAATCATGCCTCGTTATATGGCAATGGTTAGAAAGCTGGTCTCACATGAATTCGATCTCCTTTGGGTGTCCCATGCTTGTGGCTCTGACAAAGTGAATATGCATAATTTTATATTAAATTGGTTATCAGACATTTAAACTCTATTTGTAAATCAGATAGTCTGGCTTAATCCTTAGAAATTAATTAAAAACAGAAACTTGACCAATGTCAGTTACCTTTTAACACATATTTACTCTAATGGAGATTATTCTAAAGAAAAAAAATATAGTTTTGTGTCGGACTTAGTCCTGATTCAATTCAATTAAATCTTAAAGTATAATTATGGATTTTTAAGCAACATTCCCTCTTTTATACAAGTTTCATTAAATATAACTGACAAGGTACTGTGGTCTTAAAATGAGGGTTTTTTTTTTCTGAATGATGTGTTACTTTCCTTGTTGGCTGCAGTACCTTGTATAAAAAAGGATTGATGCCCAAATACAATTTTTAAATTATATGACAAGACAGTCAACAAGGAAAGTAACATTTTTTCAGAAAAAAAAAAAAAAAAAAACTTGTTTTACAGCCAAAAGTACTTGTCATTTAATGAAACATTTTATTTATATATATATATATATATATATATATATATATATATAATGTTTGTAAATAAAATGTTTCATGTTTGCAAAAAAATAAAAAAACACATTGGGTTGCATAATCCGGGGTTCCTTAGTATTTTCTTTTTTATTTTTAAGACGACAAAAACCATACAGAAGTAGAGCTTTATTATAATAATATAAGGAAAATAGTCTAGCCACTCCCACAATAACGAATTCTGTAAAGGACCATGCCTAAAAACACACGTAAACCGAGAGAGCTTATTCCTAAAATTTCGCTTGAAGATGAAACAGGACTAAACACCACAATTCAACTTAATTTTAATAATTATTTGGATGGTTTTGACTCTTGTTTTTGAAACATGAGAACTCTTATGTAGCGAAGGAATCATATTTTTAAACAAAAAAAATATATATATATATATATATATATATATATATATATATAAAACAAGTAAATTTTTTAAAAAACAGAATTTCTAAAAGTGCTCAATATTTAGACTATAATAGTGTAAATAATTTTCTTTTTAAATTGAAAAATTTACTTAATTTGATTATCTTTGTAATTGAATTATTTTTAATTTTAATCCTTCTCTTGACTAGTTTCATGATTCATGTCCACTTTTCAAGGGATTTTTATATATTTTTTTCTTATAAAATGCAACTATAAAAAGAAACCAAATATTTATATAGAAAATGTTATTTTTAGTGGATACACATATTTTAGTAAACACTCCATTTATTTATTAAACAATATATTCATTTATTTATTTTCTTCTACCAGCCTGAATATTTGAGAAATCTTATTAAAGAAAAATGTGCTCTCTAGCATAATCTTTAATAAGATTTCTCATGTCAAGATTTTTTCTAGTTTAATTTTTATCCAAAATGGTTGTTAAATAAATTAAATTTCTTTTTCTTTTTATACTGTTCACTATATGTCCTAAGAAAAAAAAACCTTTTTTTTTTTTTTTTTTACCTTCCTTATGGATTATAGCTTATAGCCTTAAATTTTTTTAAAAAGAACACAAGTCTTCTCCATCATGTCTGTATTTCAGATATTTGGAAAAAAAGAAAAAAAAAAGGTCGCTATTTGGAGCAGTATTTATAAAATATAAAACAAACCATGCTGAAAGCACTCACTGGCATACAATCATTGAATTTGGGCAGCATAGGACCTAATCAGATGTATGACTGCTTAGAAACATCAAGTACTGGAATGGGTTGTAGCTGAGAAAGCAAATTTTAGTAAAGTCAGTTGCTGAAAACTGAGAAGTAAAAAAACAACAAACAATTAGAATGAGAGCAGTAAAAACACTTCACTGAATAAAAAGTTGATACAACATAAGTAACAAGACTTTTTAAATGCATCTATTAAGAGATTATAGTGGAGGATTGTTGTTGTTGTTAATCGTTTTAAAATTTTATTTTGTTTATTTAGTTATTAATATTCTTTCTTTCTTTCTTTTTTTTTTTCCAATCATTTTTTTTTCCTCTTTAGATGATTTAAAGATATGGGAGTGAAAAAGAAAAAGATTTTTTTTTTTTTTTTTTTTTTTATCAACCCACCCCGCCATTAAACCAACTAAAAGTTGGACAAAGAGTGTTCAGTTTTATTTCATAATTCTTTTGTGATGTCCTTCTGATAAAAGAGAAAGCCGTTTATAATTATGTTTTTATTGATTTCTCTAAAAGGTGAAAAAAAAAAAGAAAAAAAAAGGTTTTCTCCTTCCAATATAGGTTCCTTCATTTTCATTTTTTCTATCTTTCTTGGAAAATGATTCCAATTACAAATGAAATTCGATAATTTGATGAAACATGACATTTTTTTTTTTCTTTTTAAATGCGATATCAAAATCATGGGAAACTTGAAGGGTGGGGGCATCAAAGTGGTCAAGATCTGATCATTTTTTTTCATTTTTTTTTTTCATTTTATTTTTTTTTTTTATTTTGGAGGGCAGGGTACAATGTTTGAAATGTTACTGTGCAAAGAGTACTTTAGTTTGTAATATTTTGATAACATCAATAGTTTTTCCAGCATCTTAGGAAAAAGCAAATATCAAATAACCACTCAGAGCAAAATGCTAAAATGAAAACAAAAATCTTGAAATAATTCTTGGAGCTTTGATTACATCCTTCAAAAAAAAAAAATTATAGTTCTTTGGTGTGCTTTTATTATATAGCAAAAAATTAAAAAAAAAGAAAAAGGTCACATGACCTACCATTCTAAATATGGCTAATCTATTAGAGACGTCTTTATTAGGCTCCATAAAATGTTTAAACATTTTTTGCTCTTATATGATAATTTTTGTATTTAGTTTTACTCCATTTTTTTTTCATTTTTCTTTGCATTTACAATGCTTTTTTTTTTTTTATTTTATTTCATTTTAATCTTTTTTCCCCATTTTTCATGATTTTATTTTTTTAAAAAGTTTCTTTCCATTCTTTTCTTGTCTTTAATTCTTCCCATTTTGTATGTCTTTGTCATCTTTATTCCTTCATTCTGGATCTAAAATGTTTATCTTCATTCATGTCTCCCTTCATTTCTTATTTTATTTTTTTTTTTCCCTTGTTCTTTCGCCTCCTTTTATTTTCTTGTTTTTCCTCATTTTCATTGCTCCCTTTCTTTTCTTGTCATCATTCATTTCTATTTAGGTTTTATCATTTTCATTGGTCTCTCTTCCTTTTTAAATGTTCTCATCCTTGTTCCATCAACTTTCATCTTTCTCTTATCCTCATTTCTTTATCTTTCTTTCATTCCTTTTTGTATTTCAATACTTGTTTTTCTTAACACCCACAAAATCCTAAAGATGTTATCAAAGTTTTCTTTTCCATTTGTTTTTTTTTGTTTTTTTTAAATCCCCTTTCACAATGTAGTAGCATTTTGAACATTGACTTTGTTTGCTTTTTGTTGTCTTTCTTTTCATGTTAGGAATATATATATATATATATATATATATATATCTCCATGCAATTCAATTGGGCTGCAATGGTCTATACACACACACACACACACACACACACAAAATGACATTCCATAAGCGGCAAGGACAAGTGAACCAGATTTTAATTCGGTTCAGTCTGTAATTGTACCAAACATTTGTATGCAGACTGAAGAGCTCAATTTATGTATTGCTAAAAATTAAAACATAAATTTAAGAAAATAAGAGATTTAAAAAAAAAGATAAAATAAAACATTTTCTACTACTATAAGAAAACACCAACTGGATCTAAATATCTGACATCACTAGCGTTCAAGCCGCTAAGGAAAAATTATATTTCCTTTGTCTTTCCTTTCTCTCACTTTCTTTCATTTTTCCTTCCTTCCTTATGTTCTCTTTTTTTCATGGTGTCTTTTCCTTTCTTTTCTAATCATTCACTTTCCCGGCTCTTTTCCTTCAGTTATTTTGCAGTCTTTCATTTTCTTTCATTCTTTTTAACATCATTTTATACCTTATGCATTTTTTTCTTTCTTCATTATTTTTTCTTCCTCTGCTTTTCTATGTTTCTTTATTTTTTTTTAGTTTCCTCATTCCTTTTACATTTTTTTTCCTCTGACTTTCTTTGTTTTTTTTTATGCTTTCAAATCATTCTTCATTCACATTTTACTTCCTTTCCTTACAGCCTTACTTAAACCTTTTTTTCTTCTTTCATTCTCCAAACATACAATTTTTCTTCACATTCTCACCCATCTTCCTTTCGTTCCATCTACATGCTCTCATTTATTCAACATCCTTTTTATTATTATTATTATTATTATTATTATTATTCTGTCCTCTTTTCCTTTTCTTTCTTCCCTTGATGGAATTTAAAGAAAAAAAAAAAAAATAAACAAACAAACCTAAGGTCTTAATGGAGTGAAGCTTAACGGATGAGACATGTTTTCATTGACACTATTTGGGATGTTAAGCCGTGGCCTGCTTGACTGCATAGCATTAGATGTGATACTACCAACAGGGGGCAGTGGTGACATTGGGGAAGAACTTATCGCATTATGATCTTGAGAATAATACAACTTGTAGTTCTCCGACTGGGATTCTGTAGGCAGGGCTTCTGTTATGGGATGATGGTGAGCAGGGGGGGAGCCAACAAAGCCAACTCCCTGGGGAGCCAGTCCAAGGACCTGGGGGAAAGTCCTCATTTGTTCGTGGATATTTGTATAAGGTGGTTGTTGATGGTGATGGGAGATATTTGACTGGGTATGGCCTCCCTGCTCATGACGTGATGTAGCTGATGAAGATATGTGGCTGTCAGCTAAGGTCACGGCTGGGTTGCTGTTGTTGTTAAGATGAGGCAGATCCTTGTTTGGCGTATAGCGATATGAAGCACTTCGATAAGGCGAATGACCAGAACTACCACTGGCTTCCAAATCAATGACAATTGGCTGGCATCCATCTTCTTTAGGTTTCCTTGACAACTTGTCAGGTGTTTTACTACAGTCAGCTGGGTCTTTCTGCATCATTCTGTCGGAGCTTCCTTTACGGTCTTCATTATTTGACACACGATGAATAGGTACCATTGTTGGTGGGCTGTACACACCACCAGGTTGCTTGTTCTTACGTTTATGGGATTTGCCTGAAGCATCATCTGAAGAATCCTCATTTGGAGAAACTGGTTTGATATGAACATGCATCTGAAAAGAAGTTTCAAAAGGGTTTTGTTAGTTAATAAGGAATCTTTAACTTGATTACCCTGGCTGCTGGCATGACACAGCAAAAACAGGGTATTGAAATCAGTCTTATTGTTGTGAATATGAGATAGCTCAAGAACAGTTTGACAGGATGTGGTTGGTAGGGTTATAGGATTAGTGCCAAGTAATAATTAAATTTGGTGTTCACTAAATTAAAAAAAAAAATTTAATCAATAATGACAGTGAATAAACCAGATTTTAATTTGTTTACTATTATAAAAATAAAGGCATATAAAAATGAAAATCATTTGACAGTTTTTGTCATCTTAGGTAAGCAACAAATATTCCCATTTAAAGTAGCTATGAATGTCATTTTTTGATGAGGCAAGGGATTAACAAGTCTACATGGCTGTAAGAATAAGGCAGTGTGGATCAAACTCTGCAGTCAAGACGGTTTGTGAAACTCTAGCTCTAAGACACCCTCTTAGGCACTTATTTAGTTTGGTATAGTCTGGTACAAGGCCACAAGCATGGAGCACCCAGTGAGATCAAAATTTACAACAGAGATTAACTTGTTAAACACTACTCTATAACAAAGCCAGTTTTTTTTTTAAAACAAATGGTAAAAAAAATATTGCAAAAATAATGGCCTCATTGTAAAATTTTAAAGAGTCCTGTTAATTTTCGGCTTTGCGGGAAAAAAAAAACACAGGAATAATTACTTAACTGAACTCCTTACCCAAATTTTATGTACTGTGAAGTACAAAAAAATAAAAGGTTGTTGTGCCCAGATGAGAATCATATAAATGGATAAGCCACTAATTAAAAGTGTAAATATATTAGCATAGTACTGCTAAAAATGACTGGATTATTCATGTAGTGATCAGAGTATCTATGTGTGCTGCCTGAAATCAAAGTGCCACTCCCCAGTAATTCTGTCTACAATCAGAATGTATCTGAAAACAGTGAAAAGTGTTACACAAAAAATATGGATAAACACTGCATTTCACATATGAGTTGAGATCGAGTGTGGGTCAGGATTTAACATAATAAGATAAAGAAAAAATAGGAAATGTTTATCAATCTAATATGTTTCACTTTTAATAAAGCTTCTTCAGAGAATGAGGTATGGTGAAAAAGAAGAAATTCTGGTATTTTTACTTTTGTGCTGTTTGATTTTCATTGGTTAATCATGTATTACATATATTTGACTCTACTGAAATAGCATTAGTATAATTTGTGATATTCGGAATACAAGGTGAGATGACAAATATATATTATCATCTGATGACCACATAGACAAACTAGAATTTTTATACACATACATACATACAGCAATATTTACAGTTTTTCAGGTAGGTTTGGAATCCGTTAATTTCTTGAAACTTCGGATGGATGCAGCATCTCTGACAAAGCTTTAATAAAAGTGAAACATGTTAGATTGATAAACATTTCCTATTTTATCATCATTCTTTAGATTCAAATCCATATTTGATCCCAACTTTGTGTGTATATATATATATATATATATATATATATATATATATAATTCATAAAATCTTTGGCAAATAGTTACAGATTGTCTTATAAATACAAAGGAATTGCAATATATTTTCTTACCTTACATTGATATTTGTATACTTTCATCTTAAATCTTAACCAACAAGGAAGAATAATCTTAAATTATAAGTGTCTTGTAGCAACAAAACGCTGCAATAAATGTCTGTCTTCATCTAAATGCATACGATAATCTTATTTATTATGTATATTTTGATTATCAGTTTTAAAACACAAGAACAAGTCACAGTAACATTCTTATATGTATATTTGATTAGGAAAAAAATTACTTTAATATTTCAATGTTTAATCACTTCAATTTCATAACATTAACTGTCTGCAAACATTAAAATCTTTTCCTTATTCAATTGGTTAAGTGGTTGTCATTAAAACAGGTAGCGGATTAATCCAACCTGGATATTTCCTGATATTTTAAACCTTTTAAATATCAATTTAAGTGCATCAGTGAACAATTATTTGTAGTACAGTTGGTATTGTTCAGTAAGTGCCATCTACCAAAACTGCAGATAACAATTTAAATTCAGTTTTGTGTTTCTTTATTTAGTAATCAAGCAAAGATTGCAATTCTTTAAGTTAACCGGTCATTAAAGAGATATATACTTTCCCAGAGGAGTCTTATGAGAAGTTACTGAAAAGTCCTCAATCTGAACAAATAACCAAACATCAATTCCTGGTTGTGCCCAAAAGTGTTCGGTAGCCTTTGTAGATATCAATATGTAAGAATTGCAAGAGAGTATTGTAGTTACCAACTTTGAAAACAGAAATAATGAGTTCAATTTCCAGTCAAGCCAGTTTATATCACTTTTGCACAAAAAGGTATAAATTCAATTCTGTCAATGTCCTGTTCATCACCACCCATCTTAACAATTCTGTTACTGTCATGTCACAATGATACTATGCAATTTGCATGATACAAGGGAGGTAGGAGATAGACACTGTCAAGTAACATACCCTGCTCATAAAAATCTATAAAGAACAAGATTTACACTATTTACATAGTTTGACTGTTTTCCTCATCTTCATTGTCATGTTCATGATGTTTCAGCCATTGTACACTCCAGCCTTCTTCAGTTGATATATGTTAGAATTTCAAACCAAACCCTTGGATGAAATAAAGGGTTCAGTTCAAAATTCCAATATATATCACCTGAAGAAGGCCAGAGCATACAACGGCTGAAACGTTGTGAATATGACTATAAAGATAGCGACAACAATCTGAACAGTGTAAATAGTTACAATACCTCATCTCGGAAATATAGACAAAGATGTTACACTGTGACAGACAATCTCCCTTAGTCATGAAACCAACCAACTGGAAAGTGTTGGTCTCTTGCTAGAACTTTTGGTTAATCTAATTATGATTTAACCAAATAAACCAATTTTGTAATAAATTTGCCCAAACAAAATTGTTGAACAAGTCAATGTATGTTCAAGTGAATTTGAAATATACATTCCTTGCTTTGTTGCTTATATATTTGAAACTTTTAAAGAATTCAAACCTGTATATCTATAAGTAAAAAAAAAAAAAAAAAGTTTATAAGAACAGATCACTGAAGAAATAGGAAATACTGAAAGACAGTAAAGACTGATAGAAATTTAGTTTTAAAATGGTTTTAGTAATTGATATTAATGTGCCAGCTACAGTTGCAGTCATTTTGTAAGAATATTGAATTAGACAATTTGATTGCAAGTTATTTTGAACTATTATAAGGAATCTCAGATGGGGACAGAAAACTTCTCAACCTAACCCCCAAAAAAAGATTAAAAAATACGATGCTCAATTCTTTGATTTTCAAAAATGCACCGAGACATAAACTTTTCAGAACCCCCTCATAAAATGTTCATTAAAATTTCTTTGCTTAAAAGCTGTTGGTCCAATGAAATTATCCATCAATAATTGATAAATTAGAAATAATTTAAATTTACAAACATGATCAAATGAATTTTTAGGGCAACTTTATTAACAATACTTATTATACGTTATTAATTTTATTACTATTATTATTAATTTTTTTACTATTAATTATTAATTTTATTACTAATATCTACAGAATCTTTAGATTGTGTTAATCATGGCATCTGTTATCCTCAGTAAAATATTTTCACTGGATTTAGCCTTTAGCACTCTGCATTATTAATATTACTTCCCTTTCTACTGCATTCTTTTTCAAGGCCTCCCAATTGCAGTATCTTTACTGTTAATTTCACTCATTGTTTTTTGTTGCAACAGCAGGATATTACAACACAACTATGAAATTCAAACACTATTGTTTAGGGATCAGTCACCTTCAGTGGTAGGATAAACTTTTTGTACAGCAGTTGAGTCTTTTTTCCAAGGTAAGCTGACCAGACAAAATAAATATTAAGTTTTACAATCTCAAAGCTATTTACATGTATCTTTTCAGATGTATGACAAACTATTCTTCACAAACTAAAAAAAAAAAAGGTCAAACTTATATTACCTGAAATCTGAACTAACTAAAGAATTTTTAATTCTAAACGTTTTTTAATGTAATTTCTACAATTAGATTTAGAAGATTTGATTCATTCATTTTTTACAACTTATCAACCTTTTGCAGATTATTTAAAGCCAGAAAATATTTTTTTTAGATATTAAGATCTTTTTTGAAGATAATAATGGTTTAGTGATACAAATATTACTAATTAACCCATAGCTGGTGGATTCATACTTTCCCAATGGTATTTGCACATAAGTGAATATAACAAACCCAATGGGAATTGGAACTTGGTTCTCCAACTAACAATTCCTAGCTATTATCCATTACACGACCTGCACATTCAAGCTTACAGCACTGGGTATTCCCAAGCAGTCATTCATCTCAGTACAGACCAGGCTTGACATTGCTTAACTTTGGTGATCATACGAGAACCAGCATTTCAACATGTAGCAGTCAGCTCTATCTTTAGAAGAGCCATGAACTCAGAACTTCATCATTTTATTCAACTGTAAGTTATTTTCAAATAATTTTGTCACAGTATAATGGAATATGAGAAGAAAGATTGGTGACAATGATGTACAGTCTTTCATTTTAATTTAATTTAATTCCTCAATCCTAAATTAGATTGAGGTCAAGACAAGAGCATGCAATATTTAACCAAAGAAATCTATTTGGCTTGGGTTTGAAGTTCATGAATTTAGAGGAATTCTAAATAATATGGTTCCCTATATCTGGATCCTCATTTAAAATACAAACCAACTCAATAACTGTCCTCATCACTAAGTTCTATTAAATCAAAGTAATTTTCCTTTATTACTAAAAAGTTCTATCAAGCTCCATTCTACAGAATGCTTTGTCTAATGGGTTTTATCAATCTGTTAGCAAGATTTAAATTGAAATGAAGGCCATAACCACAAAGCTGTCACAAAATAGAAACATTTGAAAATATTAGAAAAGAAAGATGGGGAAAATGGAATACAAAGCAACACAAAATTAAATTATAAAATTAAAATAAAATCAACAAATTACAAAAGCAGAAAGCAAGGAAAATTAATTCCAGGTTATTACAGTTAGTTTATCAGTTAAATAAAGAGTAAAATCTGTTTGTCAGTAGCACAAGAAGCCCCACATCTATAGGGCCATTTATATCTTTACTGTTTAGAATTTATCCAAGAATGGGGATTTTGATTTGAAATGTGGGCTTTAAAATCTGGGTTGAAATTTGCTCCTAAAATTGTTTAACTGACGGAACAGATACTACACTTTGATTATGACCAATGGTCCAAAGAAGGAAAATGTTATTCTATAATAAGGGAAAAGATACAAACGAGCAGGTCTCACTTTACCTACCTATTTAAACACATTTCTTTTGTAGCTGGCACACAAAAGTGTGAAATTATTTTTCTTATATTTAGACTAACAAGGAGATATTCACTGAGTTTTATATCAATTTTATTATTTCTTATTTTGGTTATTTTTCAAATGTTTGAATATAATACCATACTTTTTCTTCTTTCTTTCCTTTAAACTTGCATAGTCCTTCTACACAGACCCACTACCTTGACATAACTGATTAATAGCATAAAACTATACAGGGGCTGCAAAAGTGGGTATACAGTAAGTATTATACATTATATCAATACATTTTGTGCAATTATTTTTCATTGCTGTATACCTACTTGTGCATCCCCTATAAATGCTATCATTAACCTACTGTGCCAAAGAAATGTCTTAAACTCAACACAATAATCTTCAATTGAAAGCTATAGTAACAAAATTTGAAAAGGCTACATGATTTACTCTCCTTAAATCATATATATTGATTTATTGTTGGGTTCAAACATGATATGCGAGATATAACTCTTTATTTTAATTAAAGCTGGACATTCACAAACGTGATAGACGAAGACATTTCAGAAAACACAACTCTGTATCATTGTCTCTTAAACAATAATAGCAAATAAGCCTTCTTTATTAATTCTGATTACAACCTTGGATTCTTTTTTATTATTTGAAAATTACTGTCCTAATGAAAATTTAAATGATAGCTCAAAATTTAAAATATTCAGTAAGAGTAAGTCATATATAATTTTTATCATTTTTGTACATATTTAGTGCTTTCAAATGTAAAATATTTTCTTCTGATAGTAAATGGTATATTCTTGCCCACCAATGGCAGGATATATTCAGAAATCAGGCACAAAGTAAGATTCTTAAACCATAAAATATAAAATTGATGTTAAAAAATGAATGATTCTATTTTAGGTAAAATTATTTTAATAAAATTTTTTACTCATCTCAATTTTAGTCTTAAAAAGACACATGTTTATTACTAGTTTGGGATATTAAATTTCAGCTTGTAAATTCTTTTGATCAGGACAGTAATTTCAAAGCAAAAACAAAAAAGAAATTATTTTGTACACTGTAAATAAAATACAAAATTTCATAAAGGTTTGTCCCATGCATGACTTTATCAATTCAATTCCACTTAAAATTTCCCCAAGACTATTTACACAAGATATACCCAATATTAAAATCATAAGGAATAAAATGTCCAAATATGTACCTTAAAAATAAGATACATTACAGATATCAACAACTAAAATCTATAAGAAAAAAAAGAAAATAAAACAAGCCACATCAATTGCAAATGTCATGCATATTGCTTGCATGCTTAAGTCTTTCCTTACTCTAAGTTCAATATTGCTTTAATGTCTACATAAGATTGAAGTGAAATAACAAAGTGGCATTCTGATTTTAAATTAGACTGAAAAATAATTGATGAATTGAACTAGGATATTTTTGTGAATGTCATACCAATGATATATCTTATCAGCTGCTCCTGAACAATCATTGCTTTCAGTGCCTTCATCATCTATGAATTATGTTAGATCACTATCCAATTCATTGCCAGAGCAAGATAATCAAGTAGAAATAATTTTTTCATAAGATATCTCGTCTGTTACTCTCAGCTAACTGTCATTATTCAAGATGAAAATACTAAATCAGGCTTAACAAAAAAAAAGGAAGCATGGTGACCCATCTCAAAATGAAAAAAAAATGCATAAACAAACCAAGTGTTTATTTTTTTTTTACAATGATATTCACCCTGTACAAGACCCAAGAGCCACCTGAGGTAGAAGGTTACAGAGTAAGAGACACCACCCCAAGCAAGGTGATAATGTCACCATTATAGAATGAAAAAACTTTAGAAGGAACAGAAAATCCAATTCTAAATAGGAAACCAAGGAGAAACTCCTCCTCTTGTTCAAAAGACCATGGAGGAGTGTGAAATAGACGTTAGAATACTATATATAGAATTTTGGGTAGCTAAAGCCCAATATCAAGAATCAAGCCAAGTTAATGTCAAAATCTGAAGACTTTGTATTCATAGTGTAGGAAACTCACTACTTCCTTGAATAAAATTCAACCAGGAAACAAGCCTAATTTCTCTTTAACATAAGACTTTAACATTCAGTCTTATGATAATGTTGAATTGGTTATGTTTGAGTTGGGAAGTACAGAGTAAATTCCATAGACCCAATACAGGATACATACAAGAAAGTATGCATCAGATAAAATATGTTAACAACAACAAAAATTAAAATAAGTCCCCACAATAACTTGAATACTAAATATATTTAAATCTAAGAACATATGAAGTTACAGAAGTCATTCAAACCTTAATTAGAAACAAAACACAAAATAAATATCTGAAAAGATTTCTTCTTCTCCTTCTTCAATATATCATGCCCCTTCAGAATGTTGGCAATCATGGCTCTCCACAATTTCCTCTCCTTTGTAGCTCTTAATAAATTTTGTCTTTTTTGATATCTTTCCTAAACCCTTGCCAGGTAGGTTATGCATTATTTTCCTCTATACTGATTACTTTCAGTATATGTCCTATGACTGTCAAATTTTCCAAGCTCACTTTCCTCATTATGTGCCTTATAAATTTCAACTATCTCTTTCTGTTGTCCTTTTTGTTTCCATTTTTCTCTAAATTTTCAACGTGGTTTACATGCTCAGTCCATGGTATTTTCAGTATCCTCCTGTAGAACCACATTTCTGTTGCTTCAAGTCTCTTCATGTTTAAGGAGATTGTCCAGCATTCACTGCCACATAAGAGGATGGATACCACATCACAATCCAGCACTCATGTCTTTGTTTTTAAGAAATTTTTTCCATTTCTCACCATCTTACTTAGCCTTTGGAATGTCTCTTTCACTTGTTCAATGCATGTTTGGATTTTGGTGTCACATTTTCCTGTTTCTTAATACTTTGCTTAGCTTTTTAGAAGGCATCTTTTGCTATCCCAATGCAATTTTTGGAGACTCTATATCAAAATTGGCTGGTGAAAATTGATCAAGCAACAAAGGCAGTTACTTCATTTAGACATTATCTGACTGGATCTAATAGATAATGCAAACTGGATGAATTCTAATATTAAAATAATTTAATCACATAAATGATTAAATTATAAAAGTTTCCAGTATTTTCTTTTCAGAAAACTAAAAACTGAATACAAAACCATTTTTTCTTTTGTAATAAAATATCTTTTTTTTAATAGAAAATTCTGCAAACTTTTGTACATATTTAATAATTAGCTATTATTAATGATTAATTATAAATGATTGAAAAATAAAACCTTTTCTATTATTATTATTATTATTATTATTATTAGAATTAATTATATTGCACAAGGAAATTAACTTTCTTTTCTACTGCCCCATCCACTACCACCAAAAGATAAAGTTGAAGTGATTCCTGGTAGTGTTTATGGACACATCATGTTGAAACATCGGTTCCTGCACAATCACAAAGTTAAGCAACATCGAACCTGGTCACTATCAAGATAGGTGAGAGTTTGGGAATAATACCAGGTGCTGTAAGCTTGGATGTATGGGTGGTGTAATATATAATGGCTCAGAATTGTTATTCAGAGAAGAGTTCCAATTTCCACTGGTTTTGTTATTCACTTACATGCAACGGTATGAATCCACCTTTTCTCCTCCCAGATATAGTTTATTTAGTAAGACTTGTATCACTAAACCATTATCTTGAAAAAAAAATTCTTACAACCTAAATATATTTTCTGGCTTTAAATAACCTGCAAAGGGTTGATAAGCCACAAAAAAAAGAATAAATGAATCAATCAATTAATCAATCATGATTCCTGATAGTCACACTATTGATAATCAAAAAATTTAATTACCTAATTTAATTTTTCTTTTTGTCAAAAAGAAAATTATAGGAGTTCATTCCAGCATGCACCATAATGGTTAATTTTTTTTTTTTTTTTCAGCATTTTAGCATATTTTGTTTCTACTGACCACACAACAATTTACCAAAATCATTTTACTCACACCATGAAAATTGTGAACTAATTTGAGTGCAAATTCTTGCTTATAGCCACACTGACTTAAAGACCCCCCCCGCCACACACACACACACAAGTAAAAAAAAAGACACTGGCACTAGATCTACGCATAAGTGTCAGTATATAAATGCTACATTTTTATGGATCCAAGTGTAACACTGGACCATGGCAAGTGTCCAAGCTGGGGGTTGGGATGACTGATTACAGCCAAGCTTCATTTTCAGCTTTGGAAAAGTACAATTAAGTATTTTAATAATTAAAGAAATTTTATAAATGAAAACCCAAATATTGGCAAGTAATCAGAAATTAAGTTTAAAAACAAAAATGTTTTGTTTTTCATCTTTGAAGAGGAGAATCTATCAAATGACCTTGAATTTATCCAGTTTTATTTGTCATTATGAAGAAATATTTTAACTTACAAAACTGATTGTTTTTTTACAGCTTATCAACCTTTTTAATCCAAAACACATTTTTGGATTGTAAGAATATTTTTAATGTAAATGTTGATTCTCTGATACAAGACTTACTACTGTATATATTTGTGTATAAGCTGATCTCATGTATAGTGCAAATCCTGATTTTTGTGGGGCATGAATTTTAACCCCACTGGAAAAAATTTACCTGCATATAATGCAACTGGTCATAGAAAATGCATAATTTTTAACATCTTCAAAAAAAAAAAAAAACACAACATCAGTATATACATTATTTAACCTATAGCTGGGAGAAGTTGCTTCATACCTTTCTCAAAGAATTTACATGTAAGTGAATATAAAAAACCCAATTCTCAAAAAAAACCAAGCCATTATCCATTACACCACCCAGACATCCAAGCTTACAGTACCTAGTATTCCCAATTGGTCACCCATCTAAATACTGACCAAGCTCAACATTGCTTAACTTTGGTGATTGTATGAGAACCAGTATTTCGACATGGCTGTAAGCCTACAAAACTGTTTGATATGAAATGCAGAGTATATGAAAACAATGATTGCTAACCTACTGAAAGCCAACAAATACACTGCAAAGACATTAATCATCAATTGTGTCCGCCATGAATTTTTCCATTTGGACTCTACCCTGCTTAAAATCCAGGATTCACTCTATGTATAAATAGTGTAACATGAGCAGAATTGTTTCATCGAGTAGAATTTATGGTTGTAAAAATTGTTTAATGTACTATTCTCACAAGCTACTAACAGTGAGTTCCATCTTTGCCGAATTCTCTTGAAATATTAACCTTATGTCAAAATTAACCAAGTTATTCTATGTAGACATTTTGAAAAACAAATCAGTATTATAAAATCCATAAGAATAAAATAAGGGTCATGAGTTGAGGGACATTGGAATGACTGAAAGCATCAGTATTTATCTATCTCACTTGGTTTGACTAAAGCATTCAAGGCTTTTTTGGCAAGGCTCCCAAAATTAATATCAAATGTCTTTGTTCTTATTTGTTAATGAAGACCAAATAAAAGTGATTGATTCGGAGTTAGGAATTTACTTCCTCTTAATGGGCTACTTACAATAGATAAATTTTAAAAGTTAATTTTTTGAATTAAATACAGTGTCGAATTTACATTCTAGAACACTTAAGATGCAATGAACTAGTCTGACAATGGGTCCCACTAGTGGCTAAATTTTCTATATTATACTGTAAGATGTACATTTATGAAACAAATTGTGGCAAAATAATCTTAATGCTTTCTTCCTATTCTGTCGAGAAATTAGCAGATTTCTAAAATTATTTTGGATTAGTCTCTGGCATAAACATCATGCACACACGCACACACACACACTCACAAACACACACTACTTAATGATATAAATAAAATCTCAGTGACTATCCTTAAGGAAATCTATACAGCATATTAACAGCATGTACTTACTGTAAATGTAATCTAAGATTGTGGATGGGGTGGGATTGGGGCAATGAGCAAAGGCAAAAGAAGCAAAGAAGGAGGAGGAAGAGTGAGAAGAGAAGGAGAAGAAAAAGATGTTAAAGAAATAATGAGAAAAGAAAACTAATGAATGAGAAAATTTAGTTAAAAATAAAAAGGAAAAATTTCATGCAGAAGTAAACAGAATAAAGTGTGGTAGAAGAAAATCACAGAAATAGATAATGATAGAAAATTCATACAAAAGAAAGAAGGGAGAAAACATGATAATATGAAAGAGAAAAGGAAGGAGAAGTAAGAATGCAAAAATGAAAGAAATTAAAAAAAATAAAGAGGCAAGAGAAAAATAAAATAGAAAAAATAAACTGAAAGAATGACAGAAGAAAACAGTAGAGCACAAAATATTAAGTATGAAAAAAGAAAACAAAGAAAAAAAGAAATTGTGAGCAACAAATAAGATGTAGTTAAAAGAAAATTGAAAGATAAAAGAAAGAGACAGAAATAAAGCAAAAAGACAGCAGAAAAGATGAAAGAACAAAAAAAAAATGGTTAGGCTGAGAAAGAAAAACAGAAATAATGTGAAAAGTGAGAAAGAAAAATAGATGAAAAGGATAAAGACAGAAAAGAAAATGAAAACAAAAAAACAGGAAATGTTTCCTAAAAAAAGATAAATAAAAATTCTTACAGAAGAAAGGAATTTTTTTCATGAAAAAAAAAGCATCAGACCCATTGGAAAAAAATGCTTCAAACAGAATAGAAAAAGTTCTGAATATAACTAAAAGACAAAAACGTAAATATAAAAAAAAAAAAGAACAGATGAACAATGTTTAATAGTGACCACCAATTATTTTAAAATTCAAAAATTGATTCTTATTTGCAAAACAAAAGTAAATCTTTAAAGACATTTGAAAAACCAGATGATTTTAATTGGTGTTGATATTTACTGGTGTTTGAGATTATATGAACAAATACCACATGTACAGGTCAGTTGTTTAGGAAATGGACTCACTACAAGAATAATTATCTGCAAGATTTTCTTTAAAAAATATTAATCAGCATCAACTACCATTTTTTTTTATAAATTTTGGTTAACAGTACAAAGCTTTTTTTTGCTTGCATTTCTTTTAACTGAACTAATAAAAAATTTTCTGCAAGATAAACATGTTCGTTACTATTCAATAGTGATGCCTCCAAAGTAGAAATTGGAATTTTAAAATAACTTAGTCAAGCATTAGGCTATAAACAATTTTAAAAATATAAAATTTAACAATTACATTTATATTAAATTTTAAAATATACAGTTATTAAAAATTTTTAACTCTTTTTCAAAAATGTTATTAAATTTTAAATTATCAAATATAGAATTCCAAATACATATAAGTTAATTTTAATGTTATTATTTAAATAGATTTTTTCAGTGAATGTAGAAAAAGAAAAAACAAAATTCTGGAGAAAAAATAGAAAAGCAAAATTTTTCTCTGAAAAAATGAGAAATTAAAAAAAAAAAAAAGAAAAATGTTTTGTAAAATAATATTGCAAAATATTCAGAAAAATGATTTTTTGTTTAAAAATAAAAAAAAAAAATAAAATATTTAAAAAAAAAAAAAAAGCCAAAAAATTCACAGGAATAAAAAAAAAATTTTCAAAAGAAATGATAAAATAGGAGAAAAAAAAAAAAAGAAAAATTTTAAAAAAATAAAATAAATTAAAAAATAATGATTGAAACTTGTTTAAAAAAAGAGTGTTGCCAATTTAAGTTATTAAATTTTTTCATTTTTATTTTTTTTAAAAATTTTTCGATGAGATATTGAAAAATTTAAAATAAAAAATTATTTTTCATTCAATTTAGAAATCTATTAAATATGGAGTTTATATTAGTCAATTTAGATAAATTAATGAATTTTTAATTATTGAAAAAAATTAATTCAATTTAATCATGGTGTAAATTTAAAATAAAAAAACAATTTATTTTATTTCTGAAAATGATTCAGTAAAATAAATGTTTTTTTAGTATTTTTCTGATTTAATATTAGCCCTGCAATTATTTTAATTGGGATGATGATGATAAAAAGAAAATTTTAAGAAAAAATAAAAAATTTTAAAAATGGAAAAATGGGGAGAAAGAAAAAAGAAACTTTTCAGAAAGAATGACCGCACAGAATTCAAAGCAAAAAAGTGAATTTTCCAAGAAAAAAAGGCAAATACAAGGACAAAATAAAAAAAGTGATGAACATCAAAGACAAATATTTCAGGTTCAAAAAGCTAGCAATTTAGAAGGAAATTTAATATTAAAAAAAATAGGTAAAGAATTTTGGCTATTTATCAGTAATTTTTTAGATATGAGTGCAGAATGGAACTAAATGACAGAAGTTAAAAGAAAAAAATTATTAAACAAAAAAAAAAAAAAAAAAAAAAATTTTTTTTAAAATTTTGCTTCAAAAAAAAAATAAGTCATAATATTGAATAAGACTTAAATTGAGAAAAATTATTTTACTATATATTAAATATTAAGAATGTGAAAATATTAAAATCAACATTTGTCTCAGCTTACTTCAGGTTTCTTTTTCCAATGCTTCAATATTGTGTTGGAGCGTCAACAAAAAAGGAAGGTATGAAAAATAGACAGTTGAAGGACTTAATGCTCTGTCAAAGAAAGTTTGTGAGACTTTGAATGAAAATCTCGTTTATCTATCATAAAATTCATTTTTTTACAATTTTTGTTGCATTGGCTATTTTTCACCTAGTGTCAATAAAAGTTTATATTGATGTTGAAGATTGGACAGCTTAAAATTGACGGTCAATAAAAAATGGATTATTGTTTGGGCTTTTCAAAAACAAATGGAAAAAGAAAAAAAAAATTAATGATATTTTCTTTTTTTTTTTTTAGAATTAAAAAAGATTAAAATAAAATTTTTTCTAAAAATTATTGAAAATTGAATGTTAACTAGTGAAAACAATTTTTTATAGCTGTTAGTAATATTTGCATATAATGTAATAAATAAATAAAAAAAAAAAAAAAAAGAGAAAATATCAAATTATTTATTATGGAAATATATTTAAAAATCCACTAAAAGACATACAAATGTTTCATGAAGGAATTAATTTATTTCAGCAAACTTGGACACTGTGCTTGCAAAAAAACAGTGCATCAAAAAGGATGGCTTTTCCCTTGACACCACTATTATTTTAACTACCTTCACTCCTATGCAATGTTTTAAAATATGATTAGAATTGTAATAAAACCTAAACATATGAAAGTGAATTTATACATTTTCTTTCTTCTTGGGAATTGACAACAAAAATAATAAACACTTATATTATTTATCTGAATGGCTGACAAAACATTGACTAATTGCCAATTCATTCAAACTTTATAAAATGGTAAATAATAAGGATTTCATTATAGTTTGCATATTTTAATAATTTAGTAAATGTTTATAAATTTATGAATAAAAAATTGTTTTCATATTTATT